CTAGATATAACATATATTTGTACTGTTTAATAAGAAAACAAGTAGCAAAATCTTACTCTCTTAGAAGTGGCCTTCTATAACTTCGTCTTTTGGATTTTTTTTCTAAACTGCTTGATATATTTTGGGAAATTTGGCTTATCCCTTTCAAAAGATCTGCAATATGCATCAACAAACACTATTGGATATCAGCCTGTTGTTTTCCATACTATATACAAACAACAAACATGTATTAAGCCTAATATGTACTATAGAAAATCTGTATTGATGATATTCTTTTTATAAGACAGTACTTTACTCTCTTAAGAATCTAAAGAATAACTTAGATGTTATATATATACAATTTTTATCTAGTCTCCTACTTTAGTGGTGAGACTTTACTTTGTTTGTTTTATTTTCTTTATCTGTTTGTTATTTAAAGGTTTTTTTCCTATTAGCAGATTTTCTCTATTCAACTATATTATATGACATATGACCTTTATATCTTTTGTTATATATATAATTTTTATTTATCCTTTTTACTATATGAGAAACTATTATTAGTTTGGTAGTAGTCTATTATATAGGCAAGAAGTTATGATAGGCTGCAGTATATATTCAAGGATTTGTTATTATTTTTTTGATAAATTAGATAGTAATGATGAGGGAAAAGACTCACTATAGCAGATTATACATAGGTACCTTTAGAGTAACTGAGTGAGTTAATACTTAAAAAATTATATAGTTAGATATATTTTAAGTAAATATGTATTCTAATATTTTTGTTAAGCACAAAATTTATTGCAAATAAAGTATTAGCATGACTTGCTGAAAAGGTTAAAAAAAAAACTTTTTTGCAATAATCAGTTTAGTAGCTAAAGAGTAAAAGTTGGTTTTCTAACTGTACAAATAGTGCAATTATTTATGAATTGTTCTATAATATCTTGTTTAATCTATTTTTACCTTTCTCTTATTGTTTTTATGTCTGCTTTTATTTCTATGTTGTATTATTTAGCTATAAACTTAACAAAGTATTTTGTACATATTTTTAGTAATAAAAACTAAGTTATTAATAGTTTTTACAATAATGCAATAATCACTAGGAATAATTTTTTTAAATTAGAAATATTTTTTAGCCTATATATATTTTTTTGTTGTAAAGAGATGTATTTTGTAGGTCTATTAAAATATACTTTATTTTATTCAATAGTTCATAGTTGATTAAAGCCTTTTCATATTTTGGTTTTGGAAGATCAACTATATAATTCTTAAGAATTTGGTTAAGAGTATTTCTGCTAATAAAATTATACTCTATTAATGAACTTTTAAAAAATATAGATACGTCGATTTAAAAGTTTTTGAGTTTTGCTACAGAAAATAGTTCTATTCAAAGATATATAGTATATTAATACAGTAAAGGTATTTATTTATATTTTTTTTACTATTTATTGCTTTTGTTATTTTGGAGAAAAAGTTAAAAAAAATTAATTCGTTTATATAATTTTTCTTATTAAATTTTACTACACTCTTATTAATTATATATTATAATTATTATATATTTAATTGCTAATATAAAGTTACTGTAATTATGTTCCTAATAAGTATATAAATTATATAGTTTTTTGTAATTATTTTAGCATTATAATATCTGATTTTTTTAGTTACATGAATATTGTCTCGGATAATAACTGAAGTACCTTAGATAACTAATTGATAGATTATGTACTTTATATAACAATTGATATCTGAGATACTTCAGTTATTACCTAAGTTAATCATTAATCTGAAGTACAACATATATATATATAATTATAATAAAAATATAGAAATTACTATAAAAAAGTCTAGTAATCTAGTATAGTAATTAGGTTATCAGACTACTATACAATAGATCTGAAATTCAAATCTTACTATTGATAAATTTGAATAATTTCTTAAACTTTATGATATATTATAGTAAATCCTATTTATTTCTGAAGATGTATCTCTTTTTTTTTTTTTTTTTTTTTTTTTTTTTTTTTTTTTTTTAAAAAAATTTTGTTTTGTTTTTTTTTTTTTTTTTTTTTTTTTTTTTTTTTTTTTTTTTTTTATTATTTTTTTTTTTTTTTTTTTTTTTTTTTTTTTTTTTTTTTTTTTTTTTTTTTTTTTTTTTTTTTTTACTAAATAAAGACATAATGATTATCTTTTAAATTCTTTTTTTTTGTTTGAATAGTAAATACTAAAAGCTATAATAAAAATATTGAAATTGCTAAATTACAGAAAGAGTTTGCTTCAATTATTATAGAATAGAAAGAAAGAAAAGTTCAAAATATTAGAAGTTTATATGAAGCTTTTAAGCAAGCTACTCAAGTTGAAAGAGAACAAATTGCTAAGATCAAAGTTATACCACAAGTTGATGAACAGAGAATTCCTCAAATTGTACTAAATATAAAAATCGGAAAACAAAATAAATTTTAATTTTTAATTTTTTATATATATTAGTATATTGCTCAAAGATACTTTAAAACAATTAGACTAAAAAATATATTTAGTAGTTGATAACAGAACTACAAATAAAAGTTTTTTTATAATTTAGTAAATTTCATTATTCAAGTATTTTATTTATTTAATTTTTTAATTATAAACATAAAAGCAACTTAGCAATTACAATTTTGAAATAACTTAAAATTATTATATACAAGAAAGTTTTAAATTTAGTAGAATAAATATAATAACTTTTTAGTTTAGCTATTAGTTAGATAGATAGATATATATTATTAATGGTTTAATATTTATGATGTATAACTAGTCTTAATAACTTAATTATTATGAATTTGAAACAATATATAGACTAGATAATATTTATAAAAATAAGTAAAAGAAAATATAGTATAATACAAATTATAGTTATATACTACTATCTACTGCTACTATTTAAGAGTTATAATTTAAAAATTATAATTAAAATAAAGACATATTCGAAATTTTGTTAGAATTAACTTTATAAAAATTGTTTTTTTTAAAAAAAAAATATTTAAATATTTATTGAACAACAGCAATTTTGAATCTCTTTAAAGATTCAACAGGTATATATAATACTTGATTAAAATAAGTATAAATTTTAGAAGCTACAGTCTTTTTTTTTATCATATTGATTTCATAACAATAAGCATAAATATTTCTTTTTTCATAATGCAAGTAGTGACCAAAAGCTATTAATCATATACTAACTATTATATATACTATAATATAATTAAACAAGCCAAACAAGATGCTTTTAAGATAATAGTGTTAACGAATTTTGGTTTGAAATAATAAGATTCAATGATCAACCTGTATAGTTATGTAATCAATTTTGTCCAATCAGTGATAGGAAGATCATCACCCAATTAGATGATGAGGGTAAATTAGTAAAATCCATGACCTGTCATGTGCCAACACTGTACAACACTGGTACATTAGGAATGGGCCGCTGCGCAGGCGGAATATACCGTAAGGTCGGAATATACCGTAGACCTTCGAAATTTAGAAATTTTGGCCTGCATTAGCCATAATGCAAGCCAGTGAAGGCTGCGAAGGCCCGTGCAGGCTGCGCAGCCTGCACAGTATTTTCAAAAAATCTTCCCATCCCTATATGTACATTACAGTAAAGTACCCTGAAAATAGATTAATTTTTTTATTACAGATCATTTATATATAATGTGTCAAATTATGATATTATAATCCCGCCTCAATAAATAGTTAGACCTTTAAATTTTGGGGTACCAACCAAATTAGCCGTAATGTGAACTTTAATTAACGTTAATAAAAATTTTAGTTTTATGCTAAAGTAGCATTTTACATTATAGTAAATTTTATAATAATTTCATTTGGTTTTGTCACAATAAATACTATGATAGTTATCTTATTTGAAGACGAAATTGAATTATCAATTAAAATTCTCTTTGCTATCAAATAAAAATTATATCGAAACCGAAGGTTCTTTGCAATGTGTGAAAGTTATATTTAGGTTGAAAATAAAGTTGATGGCTAAAATTCTAGGCAGAATGTTTAAGTGAACTAAGTACCAATAATTTGACAGTCAATAATGAAAATTTGATATTCCTTGTTCGTACTTTTTATAAGAAATTCTGCTGGTTTCACTCGTGCGCCTGAATTTAGCATACTGTGTAACATAATACTATAAATATGTCGATAATGCATAACACGCATTCTTTTCTTGCGTCAAAATGTCGACTAAAGAAGGATTGAAAATTTTTTACAATAACTTAATTGTGGAGCAACCAGAAAAAAATGACAGTTCATCAAATAATAATAATAAGTCACAGGATTTTCTTGGTGAAATTGTTAAGGAATTGTGTAATCTGTATAATGGAGAAAGATCCAAAGGCAAAATTTCTAAATCAATTCTTGACATATTGGAGAAATTTATAAAAAAAAAGAATCAAGTTCCAGATAATATCATAAATTGGTGCTTGAATGATAAAATAAATCCTACGGTTCAAATCATTCTTGGACATTGTTATCGTTATGGCAAATGGGTTGGAAAGGATGAACATAAGGCATTCGTTTACTATCGAAGAGCTGCGGATATGGGTGATGCTAATGGGATGAATAGTATCGGTTATTGTTATAACGAGGGAATTGGAGTTGAAAAGGATGAACATAAGGCATTTATTTATTATCAAAAATCTGCTGATATGGGTGGTGCTCTTGGAACGTATAATGTTGGTTATTGCTATCAAAATGGAATTGGAGTTGAAAAGGATGAACATAAGGCATTTATTTATTATCAAAAATCTGCTGATATGGGTCATGCTAGTGGAACGTATAGTGTTGGTTATTGTTATCATTATGGAATTGGAGTTGAAAAGGATGAACATAAGGCATTTATTTATTATCAAAAATCTGCTGATATGGGTGATGTTAGTGGAACATATATGGTTGGATTTTATTATTTAGAAGGATGGGGAGGAGTTGGAAAAGATGAAAAAAAGGCGTTCAAATACTTTAAGGGATCTGCCAATATGGGTGATGTACAAGGAATAATCGAGGTTGGTAATTGTTATAGAAATGGGATCGGAGTATCAAGAGATATTCAACGAGCTAATCATTGGTACCAAAAGGAAAGAAAGATAAAGAAATCGAAGTCATCAGTGTACGAACAAGATATTGATGTTAATCTAAAGACATTATTAGACGATGATAAATATCAAATATCATGGATTCCTTATAATGAACTCCAATGCATAGAAGAAATCGGTAAAGGTGGATTTGCAACTGTATTCAAAGCTTATTGGCTTAACAAAAATAGAGAATTTTGGACATATGTTGCACTTAAATTAATTAATGGATCAAATGTAAATATTAAAGAATTTTTGCAAGAATTAAATTTGTATTGTGAAATCGGGTACGAGAATCCTTCGTTTTTACATTGTTATGGGATATCAAGAAATCCGAATGGAGAATACTTGATCGTCATGAAATACGCGGATAAACTTTCTCTACGTGATAATCTTCGTGATGTATCAAGGCTAGAATGGAAAGAAAAATTAAATTTATTACATTGTATTGCTAGTGATCTCGAATCAATTCATTCTCAAGAACTTATTCATAAAGATTTACATAGTGGAAACATTTTACAAGATCAGCTACATAGTGCGTACATCACAGACCTGGGACTCACATCTGACGAGATATTAGGCAATGAGATTATGGGTGTCTTGCCTTACGTTGCTCCTGAAGTCTTAAAAGATCAAGAGTTAACACAAGCAGCAGATATCTATTCGTTGGGAATAATTATGACAGAAATAACGACAGGAATTAGGGCTTTTGATGGAATATCGTTTGATACTAAACTCTGTGTAAAAATCTGTGACAAAAATAATCCTTTAAGGCCAGAATTTGCACCGGGAACACCAGATTGTTATATAAAATTAGCCAAACAATGCACAGATGCTAACCCAACAAAAAGACCTACTGCTACTGTGATCAATTACTATGTTGGTTATTGGCTCTGCCATATGGATCAAGACGATGAGAATGACATCAAAAAGCAATTTTTGGATGCCGACGTAGTAAAACCAGAACAGATCGAACCGAAACATCCACCATTAATGTATACCAGTAAACCAATCATATTCAATATATCGGATAATGTTCAAACGAGCTGATATATCACTGATAGTCGGCTTAAGTGTGATCAGTTTAGAACATTGTATGCATTTTGCAACGAAGAAAAACCCAATGTATATTTTATTAAATCAAACATATACTTTAGGAGTTCTCAAGCTCCTTAATCAATGGTCAAAAAGTGTTACCGGTAGGAAATAAATTTTACTTAGCGGAAAATATTTTTAGCGGGTCAAGTGTGTTTATCATTATAATGAATATGCGTAGTTAAAGTTTATTATGTAAATAAAATATTTTTATTGAGATTATCATTAATTTACAAACTTTTTACAAGAAGCCATCTTTTTTTTATACCTGACTTAAGAAAATTTACCACTAATAGAGTATTCATAGAGAGCGCTCAAGTAACCTTGCCATGGATCTTCATTCTTGGCACAACGAAGTATTTTGTTACTTGTATTAAAAGATTTAGAAAAAGTGTTTATTTTCTTTTTTCTTTTTTTTCTCTCTTTCACTTATAAGGCTTTTTTAATTTTTATGGAAATTAAAAAATATCAGGGGGCTCAAAACAATCTCAGATACTTACCATCTGAGCCTTTACTCATATGACAACAAATTCAACTATTCCTTCAATATTACTTTCGTTTGATTCAATAATCTAATATCCTAAACTATTGGATTATGAGTTGATTTTTTCTAGTTAATTGATGATAAGATTATGATCTTTTTAGCGACACTATGGATTGCTTCTTGGAACGATAGAGATAGCTAAAGTTAGTGCTTTGCAAGATTGTTTTTCGAAATCTGGTAACATCTATTATTTTGGCTAGATGTTTTCCTTTTTTTTTTGACGATAACAATAAATCATATCGAAGAATCAATAGAGAACTGGGATCTTTGCCTTGAAAATCAAGTATGTCCAATAACGTCATTTTCACGGCAAAGACTCGAATTTCTCAAGTATCGACTACAATATCTATTTTAATTGATTATAATAAATGAGCATTATTACGGTTACGGTCACTAGCAAATTACGTTGCTTGAGAAAGCTTTAATTACATCGTAATTTGCGTAATCAAAATTTTATCTAAAGTTTTATGTAAATATAATTATGGTCAGTATTACGATCATTTGTTAATCTTGATGCTTGAGAACCTTAGTAAAATTTTTAGTTTTTATGGTGAAGTAAATTTTATAATAACTGCGTGGGGTTTTTCTATAATAAATACTATGGTATTTATCTTATTTAAAGGCGAATTCAATTACCAAATAAACCTAATACACTTTAATAGTAATTAATAGTATTTGCCCCCTCAATTTTTTAATTTTATATAACAGAATCCAGG